TCCCTGGGCGGGGGGACCACGGGGGTCGATGCCAGGCTGGGCCGCCGGGAGCTTGATCGGTGTTCCCTCCCCCTCCTCCCCCTCCTCCTCGTCCTCGTCCTCGTCCTCCTTCTCCTCCTCGTCCTCCTCCTCCTTCTCCTCCCCCTCCTCCCCCTCCTCCTCCTCCTCCTCCTCCTCCTCCTCCTCCTCCTCCTCCTCCTACGCCGTTGCCAAGCATCACACAACTTCGGGCGCAGACGGGGGGCCACGGGGCGGAAGGGTGGGGGGGGGGGGCAGGATCGGTCAGTCGGAGTATGCAGGCGGGAGGCGCCACGGAGGGGAATGGGAGCACCAGGGGGGCGGGAGGGCACGGTCGGGCAGGGGGGGGGGGGCGCGGTGGGTCGGTCGGCATAGGCAGACGGGGGCCACGGGGCGGAGGGGTGCGAGGGGGGAGGGGGGGGGCACGGCAGGCGGTCGGACTAAGCAGACGGGAGCCACGGGCTGGAGGGTTGCGGGGGGGCAGGGAGACGGGAGGGCACGGTCGGGCAGAGGGCGGGGGCACGATCGGACGGTGGGAACACGCAGACGGGGGCCACGGGGCGGAGGGGTGCGGGGGGGGGAAGGGGGGCGGGGGGGTACGGACAGCACACATCCCAGCACGCATCCCAGCACACGGAGGCAGCACACAGCCCTGCACACATCCCAGCACACGAAGGCAGCACGTCCCAGCACACATCCCAGCACACATCTTACTCCAGCACACATCCCAAGCTCGGTCGGCCGGTCGAAATAATGCAGTGCGACATCACACGGGTAGGTGTGATAATAACTTATCCCTGTCGCACCCCGTGTCTGGTCGAAAGGGAGGGCCGAGCGTTTCGCCTGATACCTCCTCGCCACTTATGACACTGAAGCTTAAGCACTGGCAACATGTTCACATATGGAAGGCGGGTCGTTTTCAAAATGTGGCTCTCGCCTGAGCGCCGCGCACATCCTTTTTCAACATATACAAGAACTTCACGGATTTAGGGCGAGCCGTTTTCAAAATGCGTCTCGGGCCTTAGAGCCGCGGACATAGACGTTGCAAAAGTTTCACGAAATGAGGCGCTTCCTTTTTCAGCCACGCACATTCCTTTCAAACACTGCAAGGGTTTCACGGACTCCCATGGTCAGCGTACTAGAAATGGTGTTTTGAAAAGATTCAGGGTCATGAGGGTTCAACAGTTACGCTGATTCGCGGTGTTGAAGTCCCAGGGACGGCGTTCTGACACGACTCACAATATCGTCAAGGTGCAACAAGTACGTTGATTCGCGGTGTTGAGCAATCCCAGGAGCGGCATTCTAGCACGACTCAATATCGTCAAGACGCAACAGTCAGGTTGATCCGTGGCGTTGGAGCCCCGAGAATACTACATTGGCATGCTTCAGGGTCTTCAAACGGTTGCCTTCCAACGAGGCAGCTCACTCAGTGGAAATGAACCCTTGCAGGGGCCTGCAGAGAGGGAGCTTGGAGGGCGGGCTTATTCCAACATCGTTGATGACTCTTGGGCTTACACTGGTCCTCCTCCTCCTCCTCCTCCTCCTCCTCCGCCCCTTCGCCCTCCTCCTCCTCCGCCTCCTCTTCCTCCTCCTGCCCATCCTCCTCCTCCTCCTTCTCCTCCTCCTCCCCTCTGTTTCCCCTCCTCCTCCTGCTCGTCGTCAGCCCCCTCCCTTTGCAAGCTCCGCGGCCAGTCTCTCCGACGACCGCGCGCGCGCCGCACCCGGCTGCTTCCGCACAGGGCAGCAGAGCGGCGGGCGCGGCCGGCGAACTCGGCGGCCAAGGCGCGGGAGGGTTCCCGCGCCGCCCCCGCCCCGAGCGTCGTCTGACGACCTACCAGACCACCACAACCCAACCCGAAGACCCAAATTTGGCCCGAATTTCGGGTTGGGGGGGGGTACGGGTTCCACGTGTTTTTTTCAGCGTTCTCCGACCCCCCCTCCCCACTGGAAATGGAAGGCAAATTGAGGCCTTCGGGCTGGGTTGGGGTGGTCTGGTAGGTGGTGATTGTCAGCACCTGGCGCGCAGGTGGCCGCCTGAAGGGCCACGGCCAGCTCCGCGCCCCAAAGCCGCGCGAGGGCGCTGGCCGCGGCCGCGGCCGCAGAGGCGGCGCCCCCGTCCAACGGCTGCGCTCGGCCCCGCGCGGAGCGCCGCGGGTGGCGCAGGGCGGCGCGGCCGAGGCCCGCTTCCTGCGCGCGCCCGGCGGGGTGCGGCCTCCGAGCCCCTGCAGACAGCGCCCGTCGCGCACGGCGGCAGCCCCGAGCCCCTCGGCGTCGCTGGGCGCGTCGTTGCGCACCGTGGCGTCCAAATCGTTCTGCGACCCCCCAAAGTGTCGACTGTCGAGCCACGAGAAGATGCTATAGATGAGAGCAGGGATGCGCGGTGCTGGACGAGCCCGCCCGGCTGCTCGAGCGGGCGGCCACGCCGCTGCCGGCGGTGAGGGCCCCGGGGCGGCGCGCCCCCCGCCGCGCCCGGGCAGACGCAGCTACGACGGAGGCGACGGCGGCCTCGAGGTTTCCCTGCGCCGCCGCGGGCGAGCGGCAGCGCAGCCTCAGACCGGGCGGCTGCGGCACTCAGCCCAGAGATCCAACGCATTGGAAAAAACATCAACACGGAGGCTTTTCGCATAGTTCGGCCCCCAGGGGCCCTCGCCGGGCCTCGGGCCCGTCACAGAACGACTCGGGATGGAAAGCCGGTCCTGGGGAATGGGTCGAAACCTCGGGGGGCCCCGCACTGAACACTGAACAAAAACACGACATCGGATCTCAAGGAGAGGCGCCCGCAGCGACGGGAACTCCGGCTGCTGGCGCACGGCGGGGCGCCGCCGCGTCAGCGCCAGCGCGGCGGCCGCGGAGGAGGCGACCCGCCGGCGCGGGCGCGGGCCAGCGCGGCCGCGGGAGGCGCGGCGCGGGGCGGCGGCGGCGCTGCCCGCGGCGGGGCGCTCGGCAGCGGCTGTGGAGGAGGAGGAGGAGGAGGAGGAGGAGGAGGAGCGGGAGGGAGGAGGAGGCGGCGCGGCCTCCGCAGCTGGCGCGCCTGGCAGCCACGGTGCAGTGCTCCCGCCGCCGGCGGGGGCGCCCCGGGCGGCGCCGCGGCGCTCTGCGGGGCCGAGGCCGGGCGGACGCGCTGCGATCGCGGGCGGAGGCGCGGCGAGCGGTCCCTTAAGGGCCCGACGGACGGTGCCAACGGTTGGGGCGGCGGCGGTGCCTCCGGCCGCGACGGGGCCAGCTGCGCTGCTGGCCGCTGGCGGCAGTCGCGCGGCGGCGGTGCTCTGCCGCGCGGAGGGAGCGCAGCGCCGCGCAGCCGGGGAGCGCTGAGCTGCGGCCGTGGCCCGCCGCTGCGCCGCGCAGCGAGCGGGCCGCGCCCCTCGCCCCCCCACCCCATCGCGGGCTCCGTCGTGTCGTCTCTTCGCCGTCGTTTTTTGTTGTTGTTTTTTGTTGCTTCTCTCTCTCTCTCTCTCTTTCTCTCTCTCTCTCTCTCTCTCTCTCCCTCTCTTGCCGCAAGGCTTGAAGAAGAAGTGTGCCAGCACTCCCGGCGCGGCTGGTCCCCCTTCGCACTGCGGGTGGCGACTCTCACCGCCGGGCTCTGGCCGCTCTCTCGCTGCCTGTGCACGCGTGGTTCCGTGAGCCCCCTGCTCGTATCTCCCGCATGGCAGCGCGTGCACGCCTGCAGCCTCGATCTAAGATCGATCCAGCTGCCACACTCTGTCGCACCCTGCACGCCACTGCTCGTCCCCAGAGACTCCCTTTGAGGCCGTTTCCATATTCGAGCGCTGTCCTCAGCGCAGGTTGGCAATTCCCTTCGACGTAGCCCGTCTGAGTATTGATCGCGACTGTCGTGTCAGTGTCACATCGCCGGAGGACTTAGAAGAAAGGGTGTGCCAACACGTGCGATGAACAGACACTCCAGATGCAGCCCCAGATGATGTCGCAGCCATCAGCGCTCAAGGGAGCGCGAGGTCTCGTCTGGGTGCGCGCAGCGCGTAGCTGCGCTGGGCATCCCAGGAGCTCACGACGTGGCGACAGGCTCGCATATGGCATCCCCCCAGGGAGCGCGAGGTCTGGTCTGGGTCTGCGTGCAGCGTCACTCCGCTGGACCTCCGAGAAACGTCCGAATGTTGGGATAGTTGCGCAGTTGGCAGCCCCCTAGGGAGTGTGAGGTTTAGTCTGGGTCCGAATGTCCCCCCTCCGCTGGGCCTCCCAGGAGCTCACGGAAGTGGCTACAATTGTGCACGTATGAGCCTCCCGAAAGCGGCGACGGTTGCGCAGATGGCAGCCTCCGAGGACGTGTGAGGTCTAGTCTGGATCTGCGTCTGACCCCATTCCACGGTTGCGCAGTTGGCAGCCCCCGAGGACGTGTGAGGTCCAGTCTGGACCTGCGTGTGACCCCACTCCGCTGGGGCTCCGAGGAGCTCACGACGGTTTCGACAGCAGTGCAGCTGGCAGCCTCCCGAAAGTGGCGACGGCCGAGCAGTCGGCAGCCCCCGAGGGAGCGCGAGGTCCAGTCCGGATCTGCGTGCCCCCCCCCTCCGCTGGGCATCCCAGGAGCTCACGAAGGTGGCGACAGCTGCGCAGTGGGCAGCTCCCCAGGGAGCACGAGGTCTGATTGGTCTGGATCTGCGCGTCCCCCCACTCCGCTGGGCCGCCCAGGAGCCCACTGAAGCGGCGACCGTCGCGCAGGTTGCAGCCATCCAGGGAGCGCGAGAGGGAGTGGGGAGAGGCAGGGGGAAGAGAGGAGCAAGAGGGTACAGGGGAGAGTAGGGAGAGGCAGGGAAAAATTAGGAAGCGGGAGGAGGAGGACGCGCAAGCAGTGCTCTGTTCAAACGAGGGCCAAACCAGAGGGGCGGTTAGGATCTATGGCATCTACGGAGGTCTGAGCACTGTGGCTTCAAATCTCAGACCTGGTAGCCGAAGGGGACTGTCGCCTTGTCCGGGGCCGAACTCAAGCTCGGGGATATACGACGGGCACGGCCGCACAGCCCTCCTTGCGGTGCGTGCCCCGTTCTCCTTCGTCGTCGAAACGACCGTCCGCACCCCCGAAGACGCCAGAGGAGGGACCCTCGCCGCTGGCCCCCACTGCGCCGAGGGAGAAGGGCCCGACAACCATGAAGGGGCCCCAGGACACACAAATAAATACACACAAATAATTTGTGTTCCCCGTATTTTTCTATAGTTTCTGGGTTTCTGTCTTCCCCCCCACTTCCCATATTTTCCCATATTTTCATGGGAATCGACGATTACTTGTGCCTGTGTGTTGTTTCCCCTCCTGAAACCAAATGGGGACCGCCTCTATTATGTGGCATCGTCGGGGGACCTTGTCTGGCCCGTCACGGCCCTATCCGCATCGAATCTGGCTCGGACTCGTCCGATCCGTGCCTAATCCGTGTCGAATCCGCGTCGAATCCGCGCCAAATCCGCGTCGAGTCCGCATCGAGCCCGCGTCGGGCACAAGAAAAGACACCAACTTTGGGGGACAGGCGAGGTCCCCCGAAGATGCAACGTAACCTCTGGTGCCCTCCAGGGGCAGCGGCGGCGCGTCCTCCGCCATCCCGCCGCCTGGAGGAGGAGGAGGAGGAGGAGGAGGAGGAGGAGGAGGAGGAGGAGGAGGAGGAAGAGGAGCGGAGCACCAGGAAGCAATGAGCCACGCGCGGCTGAATTCCCACGCAGCAGGAACAAGGAAAGGCGACACCAACACCACCAGGGCGAGGAGGTGCGAGGAGCAAAGGGGGTCTCCCGGGTGGTGTGGGCCCCCCCCTCGCGCTCGAGACACCCCACGCCTCCAGCTCGGAGAGGCCTCGTGGACCTCCCTCGCTGAGGTGGCCCCCCGTGTGGTGCTGGCGTCGCCTCTCCTCCCTCCGACCGCCCGAACCGTGCGGAGGTCAGGCGCTGGACGCACGCGCAGAGGGCCCCCCGGACCAAGACGCTCCCCAAGAGGCCCTCGAGAAACCCCAAACGTTAGAGACAGCTGTTGTTTTATGTCTTTCGCTTGCCCCGCTCCGCGGTCGAAGATTGGTCCACAGCTTGCCTTCGGTGGCCCAACGAAGCCCTCCGAAAGACGCGCGGCCACGTGTTTTCGGCGGCCCGCTCTTCTCTCGCCCGGGCCGGCCACGCCCGTGGGCAGGCCGGGCGTCTGGCAGGAGGCGGGGGAGCCGGGGAAGACGAGACGAGCAGGGGCGAGGTCCTCCTCGATCTCGTTGCGCTCGAACGTGCGCTCCTCCAGAGACTGCAGAAGCCTCCGCGTCGCATCCTGGTCTCGGGGGGGGAGCTTCCGAGCGCCCCGTGCGTGTCGCACCCTCCTCCTGCTGATCGATGCTGTGCCTGACGGCGTCTCGCTGAGCCCACTCCACCTGTACATGCGACCCTGCTCGCTTCATTCTCCTCCTATTCATTCCCCCCCTGTGCTCCTACTCCTCCTCATCCACCTCTTCATCCTGTCTCCCTCCTCATCTTCCTCCCCATGCTCCGCGCCGCGCCCTCCTCCCCAACCTCAGGGTCGGCGGCACCGGCCGTAAGGCCTTCGCAATAGAAAGGGATAGAGAGAGAGAGAGTCCGCGAGCTTGTTCCCGTGCTGTCAATGCCCCGAAGTTGGAGGGGGAGGGGAAAGGGACAGGGAAAAAGGGTGGATGAATCAAGAAGAGAGAAAAGAGGAAGATATGGGGGGCAAAAGGATGAGGGAAGGACGAGGGAGAACAGAGAAAGAGGAAGCCGTGGACGAGAACGATGAGGGGGCCCATGTTGTTATCATCGTTTTCCGCCGCTGTCCTACAAATCATCATGCGCGTCCTCCTCCTCACTCTCCTCCTCACTCTCCTCCTCCTCTATCATCATCATCATCATCATCATCATCATCATCATCATCATCATCATCATCATCATCATCATCATCATCATCATCATCATCATCATCATCATCATCATCATCATCATCGTCGTCGTCGTCATCATCAATCATCATCATCATCATCATAATCATCATCATCATCATCATCATCATCATCATCATCATCATCATCATCATCATCATCATCATCATCATCATCAACATCATCATCAGCAGCAGCATCAGCATCATCATTATCATCATCAACATCATCATCAGCAGCATCATCAGTATAAGCATTAGCATCACGATCATCATCATCATCATCATCATCATCATCATCATCATCATCATCTCATCATCATCATCGTCATCATCATTATCATCATTATCAGCATCATCATCAGCATTATCATCATCAGCATCATCAACATCATCATCAGCATCAGCATCATAATTAACACCATCAGCAACAGCATCATAATCATTCTCAGCATCACCACCACCGCCATCATCAACATCAGCATCATCATCGTCAGAAGCATCGTCATCCTCGTCATCATTAGCAGCATCATTGTCAGCATCATCAGCATCATCATCAGCAGCATCAGCATCATCATCGTCATCTGCATCAATATCACCATCATCATAATCATCATCACCAGCATCAGCATCACCATCATCATCATCAACAACAGCATCATCATCAGCATCAGCATCAGCACCATCATCATTATCATCAGCATCATCGTCATCACCACCATAAATATCATCATCTGCATCAGCATCATAGTTATCATCAGTCTCATCGTCAGCACCATCATCATCATCATCATCATCATCATCATCACCATGATCAGCATCATAATCATAATCAGAATCATCCTCCCCCTCGTCGTCGCTTCGTCGCCAAAGTCGTCGTGGTCATCATCATCATAATCAGCATCAACATCATCATCATCATCATCATCATCATCATCATCATCATCATTGTTATCATCATCCTCATCGTCATCGTCATCAGCATCATTAGCAGCATGTTCGTCATCATCATCAGCAGCATCATCAGTATTATTTGCATCATAATCATCAGCAGCATCATCATTAGTATTATCACCATAAATAATACATCATCGTTAGCAGCATCCAAATCAGCACCATACTCAGCATCATCAGCATCATCATCCGCAGCGCCATCATCATCAGCATCATTATCATCATCAGCATCAGCTCATCATCATCTTCATCATCATCATCAGCATCAGCATCAGCATCATCGTCAGAATCATGAGTCATACTCCTCCTGAGCATCGACGTCGGCATCATCAACATGGACATGTTATTCCAGCCTCTCTCCGTCTTTCATCCTCCTCGCCCTCCTCCTCCTCCCCCTCCTCATTCTCCCTCCCGTCCTGGCCCTCATCCACCTAGGCCTGCTCACCCTCCCCACCCTCCTCATCCCTCTCCTCGCCCTCCTCATTGCCCCTCTTCGCACTCCTTCTCCGTCGACCGCTTCTGTTTCCGCCCCATGAGCCAGCTCCGTAGTTCCTAAGAAGCCTTCGCCTCCATCTCCCCCTCCTCCTCCTCCTGCTCCTCCTCCTCGCCCTCCTCGCCCTGATGCTTCAATGCGTGGTCCCCCAGAGCTCTCAACGACTTCCCCTGAACAGGCTTACACTCCCGAGTAGTTGCTTGACGACCAGCTTTTCGAGAGAGGCCTAGATGGCCTCGGGAGCACCCCCCACGAGGCCCCCATCCCTGTGGTAGCGCGAGACACTTGGCGCACCTTGGACCAAGATCACTTCTGGCTTCTAGCAACCTCCGATTAGAAGTCTCCGATTGGTCCTCCTCGTCCTCCTCCTACTCCTCCTTCTACTCCTCCTCGCTCTCGTATGTCGGCGGCGCAGACACGGGGGTGGTGCGGAGGGGGGGGAGGGCTTCTAACGAGACTGGGGGCTTTTTAGAAGGCAGGGTCCATCTCAGATGAGCCCGGAGGCTTCTAAGAGGTCTCCTCAGCACTCAGGTAAGAAACGCAGGTATTTGTGGTCTGAGAGGGAGCTTTTCGGACTCCCTCTGAAAGATCCCAGTAGGGCTCCTGAGAAGGCCAGGGGATAGCACTTCGTCCCATAACCGTGTTTGATCGGAGCAGGGCGAATTGAGGCAACGACAGCTCAAAATCTGTCCCTGGACTCCACCACTCCTGGGGTCCACGCGGAGCCCCACTGGTTTGCCGAGCTGCGCCCAGCCGTGGCGACGAGGGGGGCCCCCGAATGCCAACCACCGTCGTCTCAGCTCGCCCTCCTCCGACGCAGACTGGCGCCGAGAAGCCGGCGGCGAGACCGGGGGTGCAGTGAGAAGGAGAAGGCCATCTCAGAAGGCTCGGGAGTCCCCCGGCCTTCTGAGAAGTTCTCTGACGCTCCCCCGAGGGCGCCAAAACCTGTCCTGAGGCGCGAGGGCTTCCGAGAAGTACGGCCGCCTTCTGGGAAGGCCTTCTCCTCGTCACCTCCGCGCCCCCCAGCTCGCCGCCGAGGAACAGCACGCTGGCGCCGAAATCGAGGAACCGCCAGGATCGAGCAACAAACACCACCTCGGAGGTGCTCGCTCTCGCCCGGGCCCGCAATGCTGCCCTGCCGCCCCCGCCCTCCCCCCCCCCAGGAGTGCGCCCGAAGTCCTCGTGCTGGCGGCACTCCTCGTCCACCTGCCGGCCGTGCCGCCGAGCGCCGGGGAGGGACGCGCCAACGCGCGAAGAGGGGGGTGGGGAGATCGAGGATCGAGGATCGAGGATCGGGGAGGAGGAGGATTGATCTTCGATCCTCGTTCCTCGCGCAAGCGCGCGAGGAGGGGGGTGGGGGAGGTAAGGTTCTACTGTGGCCAGGTGGGCTTTTGCGCGTCCCCGTGGACTTTAGTATGGCCAGAGGTTCTCTGGAGTATACGAATCCTCGAGAACGGTGAAGCAGGCTCTGAGGAGCCCCTTAGGCCCCCTGAAGGCTCCCTGTAGGTTCCCCGAAGAGCCTCTGGGGCCCACTCCTGGGCCCTCCGAAGAGCGTCTTGGGGCTCTGGGCCCCATGAAAGCTCCCTGAAGAGCCTTTTGGCCCCCCCTGAGGAGCCTCCGGGGCCCCCTGAAGAGCGCCTTGGGGCCTCTGAACAGCCTCTTGGGGCCTCTAGAGAGCCTCTTGGGGCCTCTGCTGAGCTTCCTGGAGCCTATGAAGAGCTTCTGGGTGGCCTCTGAAGAGCCTCTCGGGCTCCATGAAGAGCATCTTGCCCCCCGAAGAGCTTCTTGGGGTTTCTGAAGAGCTTCCTGAGGCCTCTGAAGAGCCCACTGAGGTCTCAGAAGACCCTCTTTGGGGCCTCTGCAGAGCCTCTAAAGAGCGTCTTGGTGCCTCTGAAGAGCTTCTGGGGGGGGCCTCTGAAGAGCCTCTTGGGCCCCCTGAAGAGCGTCTTGCCCCTTTGAAGAGCCCCTGGGCCCCCCTGAAGGGTTTCTTGGGCACCTCTGAAGAGCCTCTTGGGTCCCTCTGAAGAGCTTTCAAGGATATCTGAAGAGCCTTGTGGGGCCCCCTTCTCCCTCTCACCTCCCTCCTCCCCCTTCCACCTCCCTCCTCACTTTCCCTCTCCCTCCTGGTGCTGCTGCTGCTGCTGCTGCTGCAGCTCCTCCCCCTCCTCCTCGTTCTCCTCCCCCTTCTCCTCCTCCTCGAGCGGCCACGCCACTTGCAAACCGGCCGCCCCATGCGCAGCTGCAAGGGGACTTTCTGCTGACGAAGGAGAAGGATAAGGAGGATAGGGAGGATGAGGAAGAGCATTATTTTGGTGTTCATGCCGTTCCTGCTGCTGAAAATGATGACGTTGTTGCTGATGGTGCTGATGGTGCCGATGCTGATGCTGAAGCTGAAACTGATGATTCGTAAACGACAACGCCGATGACGACGACGATGACGATGACGATAACGGTGAAGATGACGATGGTGGTGGTGGTGGTGGTGATGTTGATGATAGTGCCGAGAATGATGATGATGATGATGATGATGATGATACTGATGACGATGACGATGACGATGACGATGACGATGATGATGATGATGATGATGACAATGACGATGACGATGGCGATGATGATGATGATGATGATGATGATGATGATGATGATCATGATGATGATGCTGCTGATGATGATGATGGTGGTGATGGTGATGGTGATGGTGATGATGATGATGCTGGTGGTGGTGACGATGGTGGTGGTGATGATGCTGCTGATGATGCTGACGACGATGATGAGGATTATGAGTATATTCCGATTCCGATGATGACGACGATGATGTCATGTCGATGACGATGACTACTTGATGATGAAGAGGAGGGGGAGGAGGAGGAGGAGGAGGAGGAGGAGGAGGAGGAGGAGGAGGACTAAGCTGACGGCGAGGACGAGGACGACGACGAGGAGGAAAAGGCAGTAGGAGGGAGGACGAGGTGGAGGAGGAGGTGGTGGAGAAGGAGAAGCAGGGGGAGGCAGGCGGATGTAGTGGTGGATGATGTGTAGGACGCGAGGGGGAGGAGGAGGCAGGAGGATCATGCAGCAGGAGGAGCCGACATAAAGGTACGCAACAGCAAGAGCTGGCAGGAAGGGAGGCAGCATGAGCACGCAGCGGGAGGAGTATAGTGCGGAGGGACAGGAGGAACAATAAACAACGAGGAGTAGCAGCAGGAGAAGGTAGGAGTGAGGAGCCAGGAGAAGGAACATAGGGGCCAGAGTGATGATGACAAGGAAGAGATAGAAAGGGAGAATGCGCATGTAATGTTGACACGTGCAAGACGACGGGAGAATGATCATGACGGGGGGAATGAGGATGAATCTGACGATGATCGTCATGCTCAGGAGGACGATTGTTTCGAGCCCGTTTCTCGAACAACTTATCCAACGCTGCACGCACACTCAGATATGCATCTGGGCTTATCACATTGCTTCATGTCTTTGCATTGCTACATTGAAGATCGGCACAACTACTGCTACATTGCTTCCAACGCGCCTCCTGGGCGGGAACGCAAGCCATTAAGGCTGCCAGGACTGCCATACCTAAGAAAGGAAACCTTTACATACTAGTCCCACCAGCCCTTTGGGCGTGAGTGGTTTAGCGAGCTCTCTCTGTCCTCAACCCCCCTTCTTCCCCTTCGGGGAGGGGTTCACCCCTCCCCCTACCCCCTACCCCTGGGCCTGGAGAGGGAGTCCCGAGCGTCGTCAGGGGGGGGTCGTTTTCGACTCCTGGGAGGGCTAAAAAACGACGACCCTCACGAGGATTCTGGCCCCGAGGGGGGGGGGGGGGGAGTTTGGCCCCATCTGCTCTTCTTTGAAGCCAAAAACATTGTTGTTTACAACGGTTTCGGCCCCATTTTGGCCTTCTGAGGGGGCCGCGCTCATCTTCCTTCATAGCAAAACCATTGATTTTACGAAGGTTTTGGGCTCATGTTGTCCTTCTCAGGGGGCAGCGCTCCTTGGCGCTTCTGAGGAGGTCGCAAGAGGCCCCAAGATGGCCCCAGGAGGCCCCCAGGAAGCTCCCAAGAGGCCTCCCAGAGGCCCCCAAGAGGCCCCCAAGAGGCCCCCAAGAGGCCCCAAGAGGCCCCAAGAGGCCCCCAAGAGGCCCCCAAGAGGCCCCCAAGAGGCCCCCAAGAGGCCCCAAGAGGCCCCAAGAGGCCCCAAGAGGCCCAACGAGGAGCCCGAACGACTCACACCAGGACGAGAGACCCCAACGACTCACACCACGAGGAGCCCGAACGCGTCACACCACAAGGAAGGGCCCGAACGACTCACACCAAGACGAGGCGCCCGAACGACTCACACCACGAGGAGCCCGAACGACTCACACCACGACGAGGGCCCCGAACGACTCACACCACGAGGAGCCCGAACGAGTCACACCAGGAGGAGGGGCCCGAACGACTCACACCAGGATGAGGGGCCCGAACAACTCACACCACGAGAAGCCCGAACGACTCACACCAGGACGAAGCGCCCGAACGACTCACACCACGAAGAGCCCGAACGACTCACACCAGGAAGAAGGGCCCGAACGACTCACACCAGGACGAGAAACCCCAAACGACTCGAACCACGAGGAGCGCTTTCTCTCCCTCCTCCTCCGCCTCGTCCTTCTCCCGCTCCCACCACAAGGAGGATGTACAAGGAGGCGGGAGGAAGGAGGAACAGGGGAGATATGCGGGGCCAAGCGGACACACGCCTGAAAAACACGACTGTCGGCATGCTTCGCAAGAGTTGCTGCTGTGAGATGGGCTGGTGGGGATACGCGAAGCTTTAAGAATTCAAGTTGAAGGGTCAGCGCGGGCCGCAGGAAGACCCCCCCGCCCGCGCGCCGGGCCGCACAAGTACCCAGCGGGCCGCGCAAAAGACCAACTGGCCGCGCAAAAGACCAATCGCCCTTTACACCCCCCCAGCGCTATCCGCCATTCCGCCGCCCGGCTGCATCCATGCCCCTTTCCGGGCCCCAAGACGCCTTCCAGACGGCGTCCAAGACGAGCTCGACTTTCAGACCGCTCCCATATCGCTCTCGGGGCGCAATCCATTGTGCTCCATTTCCGCCCCTCTTGGGCTGTCTTGGCCTCCAGAATTCGCCCCCGGGACCTCAAGAGCGCCTCTTGGGCCCAACTTTGCCAACAGACTCGAAACTTCGAGAATATAACAAATTATCCCGGCAAAGCAACCTAACATCGATGTGTAGGAGCATATCTGGAAGCATTCCCCTTAAGATTCGGATGAGAATCCAGTTGTAGAATTCTGCTGTTCTCGCAGTCGTAGTCGCATTCGCGATGACAGTCGCAACGCGGGCTCCGACCTCAGTAACAGCCTCAGCCTCAGCCTGCCTCAGAATCAGCCTGCCTCAGCCTCAGCCTCAGCCTGCCTCTGCCTCAGCCTCAGCCTGCTTCAGCCTCAGCCTCAATCTGCCGTCGGCCTCGGCCTCAGCCTCAGCCTGCTCAGCCTCAGCCTGCATCAGCCTCAGCCTCAGCCTCAGCCTGCCTCAGCATCAGCCTGCCTCAGCCTCAGCCTCAGCCTCAGCATGCCTCAGCCTCAGCCTCAGCCTGCTTCAGCCTCAGCCTCAGTCTGCCTGCAGCCTCGGCCTCGGCCTCAGCCTGCCTCAGCCTCAGCCTGCCTCAGCCTCAGCCTCAGCCTGCCTCAGCCTCAGCCTCAGCCTGCTTCAGCCTCAGCCTCAGTCTGCTTTCAGCCTCCGCCTCAGCCTCAGCCTGCCGCAGCCTCAGCCTGCATCAGCCTCAGCCTTAGCCTCAGCCTGCCTCAGCCTCAGCCTGCATCAGCCTCAGCCTCAGCCTGCCTCAGCCTCAGCCTGCTTCAGCCTCAGCCTCAGTCTGCCTTCAGCCTCCGCCTCAGCCTCAGCCTGCCGCAGCCTCAGCCTGCATCAGCCTCAGCCTAAGCCTCAGCCTGCCTCAGCCTCAGCCTGCCTCAGCCTCAGCCTCAGCCTGCCTCAGCCTCAGCCTCAGCCTGCTTCAGCCTCAGCCTCAGCCTGCCTTCAGCCTCGGCCTCCGCCTCCGCCTCCCTCAGCCTCAGCCTCAGCCTGCATCAGCCTCAGCCTCAGCCTCAGCCTCAGCCTCAGCCTGCCTCAGCATCAGCCTGCCTCAGCCTCAGCCTCAGCCTGCCTCAGCCTCAGCCTCAGTCTGCCTTCACAGTCGGCCGTCAGCCTCCGC